AGATGACTCCCAGATCCATACATACAACCCTAGTTTCTTCCCTGAACTCCCATCCCATAATGCCAGTTGATTCTACTGATGATAGAAATTTGGTGACATCTTTCCTTCCCCTCCCCCAACCCCACCCTCACAGCTGCAGCCCCTTAGGGTGAGGGGGCTCATAGGATTACTTCAGTGGCTCCATGCCACCAGACCCCTTGAACATGTTTATCTTGCTTTCACTGGCTTGGGGAAGGATTGTTTAGAACATCCTTCAGCGGCTTCTGTTCCAGCTGAGCGTGCTGGCTGGGAACGGCTGGGTTTTGTTATTCTCAGGGCAGCATGACTGATCTGAGCTCTTCCTGCAGACATCACAGTAATTGTCAATATACATTTACCATTTGTTGTGTGCTGGACTGAATGTAAACCCGAGTAAGTGGCACTCAGGTCTGCCTGGCACTTGGCACACATTATCTCATTTGTCATGCATAATGTCCCTATAAAATAGTTACTATTGATATTAGTTTACCAAGGGGGAAGTGAGTCACAGAAAAGGTCGAAGGACATCCCCTGTTCACACAGCTAACACATGACAATGAAGACAGGTTTTGAACTTGGGTGTCTCTGACTTCCAAGCTCAGCCTTCTATCCATTATGGTGGGCTGCATCTATACCAGAGTTCACCAGACCAATAAATGAAAAACGTATTATTTATTAAGTGCTCACTATGTGCTAATACTTGAGATAAAAAGAGAAAAAGAAGACAGTACCTGATCTCAAGAGGCTTATACTCTAAGCAGAGAAAACAAGACATAGGGGGCCTTTTAGCTGCTGGGTAGATGAAAAGGTCCGGAGGCATTATTGGTCCCTCTATAATACTTCACTTGGTGATCTCATCAGCTCCCATAGACTTAATTATCATCTCAGTATAATTGATTCTCAGATTTACTGATCCAGCCCTAAATTCTCTGTTCTCGCATCTGCTAGATGTCCAGTAACATGTTCAAAACTGAACTCATTATCTTCCCCCCCATCTACCCCCAATGCTCTCTGCTTTTAAATTTCCCTATTGTTGTCAAAAGCACCACCATCCTTCTATTGCTCCATGGTCCCAACCCAGATGTTGACTCTCTCTTCAGCCCCCCATGTCTAAGCTGTTGCCAAAGACTGTTGATATTATCTTTACAACATCTCTCTTCTGTTGCTACCCCGACCCTAACCCTCCTCTCCTTACACCTGGACTACTGTAATTGCCTGCTGGGTTGGTCTGCCCTCCACAAGTTTCTCCCACCCCAGTCCATCCTCCATTCAGCCACCAAAGTGATTTCCTAAAGCACAGGTCCAACCATGTCATCTCTGACTCCAAGAAACTCCATTGGCTCCCTGTTACTTCCAGGATCAAATACAAAATCATAACCTAGCCCCCACCTGCTCCCCTTTCAATCTCCTTACACTTTCTGCCCACCGATGTACTCTTCCATCCACTGGTGCTGCCCACTTTGTTGTTCTTCTAACCAGGCTTTCCATCCCTTGAGTCTGGACATTTTTACTGGCTACTCCCCATCCCTGGAAAAGGGTGCCAAGCAAGAGGAAGCCAGTCTGATGAGTCAAGTATAGCAATATACCTATACATGAGAGGCATTGTAAGGTGGTAGCTAGAGAGCTGGCCTCAGAGAGAGGAATGCCTGCAGTCTAGGACCACCTCCTGAGCGTAGCAGGCGTGTGACTCGGAACAAGTCCCCAGGACTCACATTCAAGTCACTCTTGGCAATTCAGTAAATATTAGTTGCTAAACAGGTGCTGAGACTAGGGAAGATAGAATGGATGGGTGGATGGATGAATAAATGAATAAATGAAAATAATTTATTAAGTACCTGTTGTGTGCCAGGCACTGTGGTAGGTGCTGAAGATATAAATACTAAGTGAGGAAAATCTTTTTAGGAGCTTACACACTAACAGGAGAAGATAACACATACAGGGGAGTGAAAACGGGGGGGGGGTGTAGTGCTTTGGTCCTAACATTAGAGGGATGGCCAGTAGAGCTATAGGATAACTGATTGATGCCTCTTTTTCAGAAGCAATGATGGTATTGAGATGTTTACTGTTTCCCAGAGCAAGAGCTGGAGAATTGTAGGAGTGGAGGTGGGGTGGGGAATGTGATAGTGATGGGATATGTGTATAGAGGAAAGGCAGATGGCAAGATGCTGAGATTCTGAATGCTTCTGTTTTCTCTTCCAAGGACAATGATCTTTTCATAGGAAAGATTTTTTTAAAACTGGTTTTCAGGGAGTGGAAACCACAGATAATCTGCTATAAGGTCAGGCAGCATCTGGCTGCCCTCACTGAGTTCAGGTCATAACGATGTTTTCATGCCAAGCCTGGATAGCCACATGTTGGGTATGATGTAGAATGCCTCCTTCATGTCTGAGTTGTCTCAAATGACCTGTGAGGCCACTTCTAACTTGGAGATACATTGTGAATCTTTGCTCCTCTTGTTAGGAAGGGAGAACCCAATTCCTTCTGAGATTCCAGAATTTTTGGCACTGGCTTCTCTCCAGGCAGTGTGGCACGTTGGATAGAGGCGGTGTGATGCAGTAGATGCAATGGGTATCAATGCCTGGGAGATCTTGGGGCAAGTCACTTAGCTAAACTAGATGACTCGATGACCTCTTAAGGGTCCCTTCTGACTTTAAATCCACAAATGTAGGTATAGGTTCCCAAAGTGGGCAATACCGACCACTGGGGGCGCTGGAACAATGATGGGGGGGGGATGTCATGGTAGTAGTCTCAGGTGCAATTATAGGGCATTGAATAAAAATAAGAGGGCAGTGGAAGCATACAGAAAGAAGAGAAGAAAACTTTGAAAAGCCGTTCATACATGTTTCATCTGTTGTGTAACAGAGTTAAAGTCATGGTGATTATATTATTTTCCAAATAAACCCATAAAATGCAAGTTATAACCAACCACTGGTCAAGTTTGCCAACAGGTCTTAACAAGCAGGTGTTGGCAGGCGAGCATGTAGTACATTGTCAGGAAGTCCAGCATGCATCAGCAGGAATATGTGCATGTAATATGATACTTTATGGTTATATGATGCAGTATTGCATGATCAAAATTTCAATGCAGGAATCCCACAAATTTACGATAAACTATTAAATTTAAGATGTGTCCTTTTTAAAAATATATACATATATTTTTAAAATGATGCAAATTTCAAAAAAAAATTAAGAGGTTAAAAAAAGTAGATTTCTCTGGGGGGGGAGGTGCTGGGTAATTTTTTTAAAAGGGAGGGGGTAGACCAAATAAGATTTAGACCCTCTGGTCTAGAGCAAGAGTTCATACCATGGGTTCTATAAACTTATTCTTAAAATAATTTGATAACTGTATTTCAAAATAATTTTGTAATACCATGTGTTTTATTTTATGCATGTAAAAACATGATTTTTTTATGCATTTAAAAACATGATTCATAAAAGGGGCCCATAGGCTTCCCTGGATTTCCAAATGGGCCAAGGACACAACAAAGATTTAAGAACCACCCCTGCGCTAGCCAAGAGCTTAGAGTCCATTGGGGCTCTCCTAAGCCTGCCATGTTTACTATTATTGTTATTATAATGCTATTGTCTTGCCTCACTTTCTTCATCTGTAAAAGTCCTACTTTTTTCTCTCTTTTTTTCCTCCTGTGCTCTGTTCTCCTCTCTTCTCTTTTGTATTTTTGTCTTCAAATCCCCTATGCCTCACACAGTGCCTGGCACATAGCAGGGACTTAATTATTCATTGAAATAGGTGCAATGACTACAGGAATTTGAATGGAAAAAATAACAATAACTAATTATAGTGTGTGTATGTGTATGTATGTAATGTAATTATAGTGACTGAAATTGGTTCTAGATAAGGAGGTGAAGCTTGACGTAGTAAAGGCAGAGAATTTGGGTTCAAACCTGCCTCTAATGTATATTTAAAGCAATGAACTTGAAGTTACAGGTCCTGGGTTCAAATCCTAGTCCTACTTGGATGACCTCAGAGAAGCCACATACCCATTCTGAGCCTCAGTTTCCTTATCAGCAAAGTGAAGGAGGTGAGCTAGATGACCTCTAACCTCCCTTCCCTCTCTAGATCTCTGATTCTGGGATTCCTGGGCCTCAGTTGACTAATCTACAAAATGAGATTGGCATAGGTATCCTTCTGAGGTGCCTTCCTGCTCTGGAGCTATGAGATCCCATGATCCTTTTCTACCTAGGAGATTGGAAAATGCACTTCCCTCCATCCTCTGCAGAGACAGGTGACTCTGGGTGTGTGGACTGTAAGGTCAAGCTTGCTTGATGCACTGATTAGTTTTTTTTGCATGCTTCTCCTTGCTCCCATCCTCTTTGTTACAAGGGGAGGCTTGCTGGCTAGAAGAGGAAGGATAAATTCAGAAATAAAGGTGATATTTAAAAAAGGTGATCACTAAAAAGGTATTTTGGTTTTTTTAGGTTTGTTGAATTTAACTGGAGGTAGTGATTCTCCTGTAGTTTCCCAAGTCATAGCCGTAGGGCATTTGGCGAGCTTCCAAAATGATAGTATAGAATGGGGTCTAGGTATGGCAGTTTTTCCTAATGAGAAATTGTAATAATAATGAGAAAAGTAATAATAACAGTACTACTACTACTACTACTACTACTACTACTAATATAGGTATTATATATTTGAAGTTTCCAAAAATACATTGCATGTATTATCTCATTTGAACCTCAGAAGAGGTACCTAAGAAGTATGTAACATATGGGTTGCAACTGGCATCAGTGGAGGGCATTCCCATGCTAGGACTTCCCCCTCAGTGATGAAATCCTACATCCTTCTTGTCCAGGTGTGGTTCCAAGAAAAACAAGCCTTTCCAATTCAATCCATTTTGTCCAATCAGCGGCTTCTTGTTTGTTCTCCCTAGTTCTCTGCCAACATTGGCGATGGAGATCTTGCCAAGATCTAGGGATTGTCTTTGTTTAGATAAAGGACTGTGTATTCTTTTGTGCCCTGACAGGTTGGTTCAGAGGATACACGCTGAGGAATAAGGCTAAAAAGGTATGGTTTTTTTCTTTGTTTTTATTTTTGTTTTTTGCCTTCTATCTGATTTTTTTTTTCCTGCTTTGCATTGTGTGTGGTCCTGGTTGCATTATAAGCTATCTGATTAGGCTCTGCTCTCTGATTTTTCTCTTCAAGGTTTTACCTCATTTAGAAGCCGGAGCAGATTCCCAGATCTCCATAGGGACAGCCAGTAGGACAGTTAAACATGATCCTCAAGGAATCATGCAATGATTCCATCAATGCTTGATCAGGAAGCATTTATTAAGCACCTACTATACGCCAGGCACCATGCTAACTAAACTGGGAATTTTCCTTTGGGTAAAAGTGACCTTGTGTTCAGCCAGCCAGTTTGGGAAGGTGAAAGTGAGTCAGGCCAAGGGGTGAGACCAAGGGTCAGTCAAGGCAAGAGAAGATGAGAGGTCTTTTTGTTCTTCTTCTCCTATCCCCTAGAACGCAGTTGCTATAACAGCCAACAATGGGCGTTGCTTTACCTGAGGCCTCAGCTTTGGTGAGGGGCCAATGGTCCTCCCTGATTCCTAAGCTCAGGGGTGCCCCTTAGCCGTGACTCTTTCCTCCTTGCAAACGGGCTAGGCTGTAGGGTGTCTTTTCTCAGGGCTGGGAAGGCAAAGTACCAAGTCACAGTTTCAGGACTTAACAAAGCCGTTCTCTGGAGCCCTACCCAATTGCTTCCTCGGGGCATGGAGGCAATGTTGGGCTCTAGAAAACTTTGCAAAAGGGCCATAAGCTAGGATGGGGGCCGTCTTCAGTTGTCCCGATCTATATCTTGTCACTGGACCCACATGGTTCTGTGAGAAAGTGAGGCTGGTGACTCTGCACAGCCCTCCCTCGCTTACATCTAATTCACTTGCGAGTCATGGCGTCACCTCCCCGATGCCAAGGGCAAACAATGAGTTCTGATAGGTTCTATGGCACTAGAAAGAAATTGGGCACTGTCCGAGGAGGGAATTATCCTTCCAGGACCCGTCTGGTTAAACACAGCAAGCCCCCCCACCAGCATCTGCCCTACGCTAGGTGGCTGTACCTTGCTCCTAAGGTGTGGAGAGAGGGATATCATCTGTCTGGGTTGAGCAGATATCTGCAGCCCAGGAGTCACAGCATTTTTGAAGTGGCCAGTTAAGATAATTCACAAAAGCAATAACAATGGCAGGCGGAGTGATTGGTACAGGGGATACAGGGCAAACTTGGGAGTCAGGGGACCTGGGCTGGAATCTGCTTCTAATTAAGATTCTCGATCTGAAGCTGGAAGATCTGGATTTGAATCCTGGCTCTGCATTTCATCATGTGCACCCTTGGGAGATTCATTGAGCTTGGTTTTCTGATCATGGAAATGAAGGGATTGGATTGGACGACCTTCAAAGGTCCCTTTCAACTCTGAATCCAGGATTCGGTGAAGTTACTGACACTCTTTGGGACTCAGTTTCTTTGTCAAATGGAGGATGTTGGGCATGACAATCTCTAAGGGCCTCCTAGCTCTAAGTCTGGTATCCTGTGACTCTGGTTTATTTCGGTTATGGTAACTTAAAAAGAAACTTAGAACACTTAAGTTAAAATCAGCCACATTGCAGGGCAGGTAGGTGCCACAGTGGATAGAGTGCCTGGCCTGAAGTCAGGAAGATTTCTCATCCTGACTTCAAATCCGGCCTCAGAAACTTACTGGCTATGTGACCCTGGGCAAGTCACTTAACCCTGTTTGCCTCAGTTTCCTCATCTGTCAAATGAGGTGGAGAAGGAAATGGCAAAACTTTCTTCCCGTCTCCTAGAATCAGGGGGTGGGGAACATGTGACCTCGAAGCCGCAGGTGGCCCTCTAGGTCCTCAAGAGCGGCCCTTTGACTGAATCCAAACTTCTGTGTCAGGCCTTCCTGACTTCAGTCTTTCCACTTGAACAAAGTGTCAATCTCATGTTTAGTTTTCACTTTTATTCTCTCACTGACTTTGTGCCAAAGCATCTTAACTGTCTTTGGGCCCAGAAATAAGCCAGAGTATGACGGAGTAGTCTCTGAAGCAAATACCAATTCTTACCCAGATTCTGAGCCTCGCTGTTGGACGTGATGCCTGATGTGCAGTGGAGGCTGGTGGCTGGCCTGGCGTTCACAACATAGATGGTGGTGCTGCTCACTAAGGAGCCGGTGGGGGTTTCAAAGGACACTTAGAATTTTCACAGGCCCGGGGTCCTGTACCTCCTAAGTGCACAAAAAAGCAATGAAAGTCTATGGTTCATTAATTTCCAGTTCTTCAAAGAAACTGACTTTTTAAAAAGCAGGCACAGATAAGAGCATTTAAATCCCAGACACACAGAGCTCTTGGCTTTCAACTTCACGTGCATGGTGCTACTCAAGGAATAGGAGTCCCAAAAGATGAGGTAGATAATAAGTGGTGAATCTAAATCATATGACCGAGGGGACTTGGGAGGCAATTGCCTGGGCTCCCCACTCCAATTCTGCCACTGTCTTCCTGTGCAACCTTGGATGGGTCACATGGATCCTCTGGGCTTCAGTTTCTTTAACAGTATCATGTCCTAACACTGTCCTCTATAGTCCCTCCTAGCTTTTATGTCTGTCCTAAGGATCCTCCCAGCTTTGCAATTTTATGTTCTAAGACCCCCTACTAGCTATAACATTTTACATTTTAAGGCTCTTCCCGGCTCAGATGTTCCATGTTCTAAGGGCCCTCCCCACACTCTGACATTCTCTGTTCTAGGATCTGTACGGTTCTAACATTCGCAGTTTTAAGGTCCCTCCCAGCTTTGACATTCTCTGTTCTAAGGCCCCTCCCATTTCTGACGTTTGATGATTCTGTGGCTAGTACAAAGTCCTTTTCCCCAAAGTATGGGAGAGTGGAGAAACTACAGAAGGCTGTTCATTTTAATGTACTTTTATGTAACTTTTTTTGTTAACTTGTATGTAATTTTTATGTACTCTTCAAGGAAGAAGGGTAGATTTCTGAACCAGGATCAGAGTGAGAAGCTCTGGCTGTTTCTCGGTTTCCACCTTAAGGCCCACTGGCTTCTTCCAGGAGCTCTGCCAGGGAAGGCTTTCTTGTTCCAAGGCTGTTTAAAGTGACCTTTCCCTCCCACTAAATTACTGAGGGGAGGGGTGGTTCACACACTCCCTTTGAGAAGCTTCGAAGCCTTCTCCTGGGAGAGCTGATTCAGGAAAAATAAACCAATGTCCTGTCTATTGCCATTGACAAGATTTATTCTCTTCTGCCTCTTCCTTGAGGGAGTGAGTCCCTTTGAAATCCTTTTAAGCTCCAGCATGACCAATGCCTTGACTTCTCAGGTCTTGAGAGCCCATTTGGACGGCCTATTATTTTAATGGGGACTTTGATGTCCTTTAGAAGCAGGCCCACCCCATGTGGAGTGGGTGATAAAAATGTGGCAGACGTGCCCATTTCAAGAGCAAAGAGTATTATTTCAGGCCTTGTTATTGATCTGAGGTTGGGTGGGAAGGATGGCTGGCCAATCTCTAGCTTAACAGTTGATTCAAGTGAATGGGTAGCTTTAGTGGATGGGGATTGAATTGAGGGGAGGTGGGATGTAAATCAGAAATACAGCCTGGTTTACTCAGGATTTATGCAGCCCATAATGGCATTCTACAGGGCAGGCTTACCAAGGAGCTCTGTAATTGGATATGTGATGCATACAAATTATGTTTTGGTAAGACAATAAAATATTTTAAAATCCTTTTATGGTTTCCTACCTAGAAGTTTATGGTTTATGGTCTCTTTTGTAAACGTTGAAATCATGCTATTGGTTTTAAATTTCTCCCTCCTCTTCCCTTGGCTTTCTCCAAAGTAGTTTAGGGAATGCAGTCATAAATGTAGGATGCTTGGCCCAGTTTAATTGACCTGATTCCTTCCTGGTATTGGATTTCCTTGGGCGAGAAAATGGACTTGCACTAAAGATGATCATATCTTGTTTAACCCCCCTCACCCCTAAGGGCTCCTCAGAGATTGTTGCTGTTTGAGTCATTTTCAGTCGTGTCCAACTCTCTGTGACCCCATTTGGGGTTTTCTTGGCAAAGATCCTGGAGTGGTTCGCCATTTCCTTCTCCAGCTCATTTTACAGATGAAGAAACTGAGGTAAACAGGGTGAAGTGACTTATCCAAGGTAACACAGCTGCTATGTGTCTGAGGCCAGATTTGAACTCAGGAAGATGAGTCTTTCTGACTCTAGGCACTCTGTCCACTTTGCTAACTAGCTGCCCCATAAGACCTTAGAAGGGACCCCAAAGGCCCTCTGCAGTCAAGGCCTCTCATTTTATAGATGATGAAACTGATTTGCTTGGGATTACACAATTAATAACCAACTTCGGTGATCTATCCATAGCACCACCTAGTTGCCCCTAGCTGTACCAACATATAAATATCCATGTGTTGGGAATAGGACACATTGCTGTCAGAGCCAACCCTCTCCTGTCTCTCGAGGTGCAATCATGGCCTGGAAAATCCCAAAAGAGGGGGTTATTAGGACAAGGCTGTGGTTTACACTTATAATATTGGGACACGTGTTTTGTGTTTCCAGTAGTAAGTAAACTACTTGAGGTATTGTAGCTCTCGGGATGGAAGAGACCTCAATCCACTGAGTCCAACTTCCTCCCTTTACAGATAATTCAGAAACCAAGCCCAGAAAAGTTGTGACTTCAATCAATCAATAAACATGGGTTAAGCACCTACTGTGTGCCAGGTACTGTGCTAAGCACTGGGGTTAAAAAAGCAAAAGACAGTCCTTATCCTCAAGGAGCTTACAATCTAATGAAAAGATAAGGTTTGCTAGTGCCACAGTGCTGGAAATGTTCAGCCTGATGGTAGAATCTTGGCAAGACACTTTTTGGAGAGTCGTTCTGTTTGCTTCTTTGGGCCGTGATGGAGTCTGCCAAGGGCTTGGGTGTCATGGTGGCATGTCAGAGTTGGAAGGTCCATCAGAGGCCATCTTGTCAGGGTCTGTGTGTCCTCAGCTTTAAAATGAGAGGCGCCACGGTGATGGAGGAAAGACTGCTTAGATGGACCTCATTATTTGTCTGTCATCCTCCTCCCTCCTTCAGGATGTAAGCTCCTCGAAGGCAGACGTTGTTCCAGCTTTCTTTTTGTTTCCCATTCCTAGTGTATGCTGAGTGACTGTTTGACTGAGTGAACTGGGAGAACCTGGGCTTAAATCCTGGCTTTGCTGCTGATCTCCATGCTCTGAGGCAAGCCATTTAACCTCTCCTGGGCCCAAGTACCTCATCTGCGGGGGCAGCTAAGGGGATAGAGCACTGGACTCATAATCAGGAAGACTCATCTTCCATTAGTTCAAATCCAGCCTCAGACACTTGCTAGCTGTGAGACCCTGGGCAAGTCACTTCACCCTGTTTGCCTCAGTGTCCTCATCTGTAAAACGAGCTGAAGCAGGAAATGGCAAACCTCTCCAGGATCTCTGCCAAGAAGACCCCGAAGGGGGTCTTGGAAAGTTGGACACGATTAATTGACTAAGCCACAGCAACGGAGAGCCAAGTACACAACCGAGATGACCCCCCGACAACAGCAACATCCCCTGTAACGTGGCGGTATTGGACTGGTTGGCCCGGAAGGCCCCCGAGACCATAAAGCCGTGAGCCTGTGAACATACGTTGATGCCCTCTGTCGCTGCCGTGAACACAAGTCTAAGATGGCCAAGGGATGAGAGAGCGGCCTCTGTCCTGTTCTCAGTGACCCATGACGGAGTCCCAGAATGTGAATCAAAAATGGGGAGCCTCTGGATACAGCGCTGGCCCTGAAGTCAGGAGGACCTGAGTTCAAATCCGGCCTCAGATCAAACGCTTGACACTTACTAGCTGTGTGACCCTGGGCAAGTCACTTCACCCCGATTGCCTAAAAAAAAAAATTGCTCAAAAAAAAAATTGGGAGCCCAGAAAGGACCCATCCACAGCCTCTAGCCTTGGCTGAGCCGGTGAAAAAAGTCTCCTTCCCTCAGGTAGACAGAAAAGAAGGAAAACCTAGGTCTCCACTGCCTCATGCTGAAATTCTACAGAGGGGAATTTGGGGAGTGGGGAATGAACGGAGCAAGGAGTCCTGTAGGTCGCGGGATTCTGTGTGGGGCCCGTTGGTGGGTTTTCTTACCAAACCGAACCACTTCAGAGTACTGGCAGGTTGCCATGTTTGCCTTATTTTTTCCTATTTTCTTTGCTGTAGGAATTCTCGTATTTCTTCATATTTTCCTTCTCCCATCTGCACCTTCACACAGGTAGCCACCATACTTGGAACACACTCCCTCCTCATCTCTGCCTCTTGGCATCTCTAGCTTCCTTGAAGGCTTAGCAAAAATCACCACCTTCTGCACCTGTACTTTCCCTGATCCCAGCCTGTGCTCACTGCTAGCACTGGTTGCTGGTGCCTCTTGCCTACTCCCGGTTATCTCCTATGCACCTATTTTGGGTAGCAATAGAGGCTGATCCCTCTATTTCATTGCATAGGGAGCTCCCCTATCAATTCAGTCCAAAAGTCAGGACCTTCTCTGCAACTTAAGAGTCTTGGAGAATTGCCCAGAGCCTCGGTAGGTTAAGTGACTTGTGCAGGACCGTACAGCAGTTACATGCCAGAACTTGAACCCAGGGCTTTCTGCTTTCAAAGTGGGTTCTCTTCTCACTGAACCATAGCTTCCTTCTGGATATTTTGTTATATTTATATGTTGCCTCACTTGATAGAATGTAAGCACATTAATTGCAAAATTTTATTTTTGTTTTTTTTTTTATCATTGTATCACCAGGGTTTAACACAATGCCTGGCACATAGTAGATGCTTAAGAGATGCTCGTTGATTGAGGTTCTGTTTTGAGGCTTGGGCTTTGCTACCATCTAACCTGATTTTTTCTCTTTGTAGGGGATTTTCCCTGAAACATACATCCATTTGAAGGAGGCCACCGTAGAGGATCGAGGGTGAGTGCTTTGAGGATGCCCGACGGGTGGCAGCCAACTGGGTGGTCATTGCAAATCTGCGAGCCTCACCTTCCTCATGAATTAGAATGGGATGAGGGTGCCCTCTTTATGGGGTGATTGTGAGTGTGGTACAAAGAGCCTTGAATGAAGAGTCAGAGGACCAGAGTTCACTCCCTACTTCTGGCTCATGCGATGGCCTGGGTGACCTCGGACAAATCAGTTACTTCCCTGGGCCATTGTAAAATGTAGACCTTGACTAGGTGACATTTGAGATCCCTTTCAGCTCTATGGCTGTCGTTTATGAAATGAGATAATACACGTAAAGAACTTCACAAGATTTTAAGCATTACATAAATGCCAAATATTATTATGAATTTCCCACCCTTTCCACTCCTCTCCCCATTCCTACTTCCCTATTTGAGGAGGGGCAATCTGTAAAGTAGGCAGCTAGGTGGCACATTGAATAGAACACTGGCCTTGGAATCACGAACACGCATCTTCATGAGTTCAAATCTGGCCTCAGACACTTAATAGCTGTGTGGCCTTGGGCAAGCCACTCCACCCTGTTTGCCTCGGTTTCGTCATCTATAAAATGGGCTGAGGAAGGAAATGGCAAACCACTCCAGTAACCCTGCCATGAAAACCCCCAAAAGGGGGTCACAAAGAGTCAGAGAAAATAACTCAACAGCAACATTCTATAAAGCATCTTTCCCCGTCATTCTTTTCTCTATTTTTTTTCTTTTTTAATCCTTCTTCCCAATCAGTTAGTCAACAAGCATTTAATCATTGCCTGCTGTGTGCCAGGCACTATGCTAAGTGATAGGGATACAAAAGAAGGTGAATGCAGACCCTGCTCTCATTTATGTAATGGGAGAGACAACATGCTGACAGTTCAAGTTTATGCCTTGTAAATGGAAACAGTCTCAGAGAGAATGCCTGAGCAATGGCGGGGTGGAGGGGTAGAGGAGAAAGGGAAAGGTCTAAAGGAGATGTTGACCCAGGATTCCTACAGGGATCGAGGGCATCCAGGGGTCCCACACCTCCAGAGGAGGCGGTACTGGGGTCCAGGAGGATCGTGGGTCCTCACAGATGAAGGGACTCAGGATGCTTCTGTCAGGGGCATCTGGGACTGGCGGTGGGTAGCCAGGCTACTTCCCCCCATCCCCTCTCTCCAGGGTCTGAAGCTGCTTTCTTTGAGCTCTGGAAACATTTGTGTGGGGAGAAAGAATGAGTGAGAAGACCCGGTACAGGCAAAGAGAGATCCACATCTGTAATATTAGAGCTCCAAGGGGCCTGTTAGGTCCCCAGACCAGAGGTTCTCGGACTGTTTTGTCCATGGCCCAGAGAGTCCCCATATCTGAACAGGTGGAGCTACAGCCTTGGGTGGGCACATTCAGTTGAAAGTTGGAAGCCTGTCTATTGATGGTGAGCTTCTTGAGGGCAGGGACTGTCTTCTGCCACTTCTTGCATCCAAGGAGCTTGTTCTCATAGAGCGTGGCACTGTTACTTCATCCATGTTTATCGAATGACTGGCTAGCATCTACATCAGTTTGCTATGGCTGATTCTCCCTCTGAAGAACCAGAGACAGAGGAAGAAACCAAGGTCTACTGAGTTTGAATGGCTTGGCCAAGGTGGCTCAGGTGGCAAAATAAGAATTAGAACCCGGGTCCATTGACTCCAAATCCAACCAAGCTCTCCACTGGGTAATCTGGGCTTTCCTTATAAATCTTCTTCAGCCAGTACCACCGTGCACTGAGTAGTGGGCCTGGAGTCAGGAAGACCTGAGTTCAAATCTAGCCTCAGACACTTACTAGCTGGGTGACCCTGAACAAATCATTTAACCTCTGCCTGCCTCAGCTTTCTCATCTGTAAAATGGGGGTTATAAGAGCACCTACCTCCCAGGGTTATCGTGAGGCCTAAAGGGAATATTTGTGAAGCACTTAGCACAATGCTTGGTATACAGTGGGTACTATATATGTGCGTATTCCCCTTCCTTTATCCTCCTTTCTCCATGTCTTATTCTCCTTGATAATAACTTAGTTAATACAGTTGGTATTCAAGAAGTCCAGGATGGAGACAACCTTGGCTGTGGATTATTTCACACTCCCAGGCTCAGGCCCTATTTGGGGACTGCCTGAGATCTGAGTGAGATGAGTTTTTCTCCAAACCTCAAAGATTCAGTTGAGTTTCCTACTAGACACCCCCCCAGGGCCCAGGTTTTGCCTCATCCCAGCCTGGAAACAAGGCCCTTACCAACTTCCGCTGGCCAGGCCTCCTTCGAGAAACCCCGTGGCTCATCTGTTTCTCTCTCTAGGCAACATGAGACCGTGATTCCCAGTGAGGCGCCACTGGTGCAGGAACTCACATCCACCCTTCGAGAATGGGCAGTCATCTGGCACAAACTCTACGTGGTGAGTCACCTCCAAAGCCCAGAGCACCACTGACGTTGTATGCAGCGTTACACACCTGTAGACCCCCACCTCTGCAAAAAGTTTGAGGAGATACCATCGCTAAATCTCTTCTTCCAGACCCTGGTCATTATAATTTCACTGTGTTCAGTTTCAATTGTTTTTCATCTGAGAAAATTGCCTGGGATCCCGCAAATGGTGCACACCAGAAATGGGACTAGAACCCCAGGGCAAGTGGGAAGAATGCCTTGAAGTTTCAAATGGTCCAATTTGGGCTTGAACCACATCTTACTCATTAGAGCCTCACAAGTGTACAATGCCTTAAAGCTCTGGTTACCTTTTTATTCGTACATGTCTTACTTTGCCTTAAGTAGACCATAAGCTCTGGGAGGTCTGGGACCCAAAGTCTGTCCAAGCTCACGTTCATTGCTTCCATGACACCCTCTCTCCATCTCATCCTTTGCTGTCCCCTCTCCTTCTGCCTTCGATCTTTCCCAACTTCAGGGTCTTTTCCAATGAGTTCCATCTCCTCATTATGTGGCCAAAGTATTTAAGCTTCAGCTTCAGTATTTGACCTTCCAGCAAGTCGTCTGAGTTAATTTAAGTATTGACTGATTTGACCTCCTTGCTGTTCAAGGGACTCTCAAAACTCTTTTCTTTGAATGTATAAATGATAAATAAATTAAAACTTCACTGTGTCTACTAGATAATTGTTCCAGGCCTACTAGTTAGAATGGGTAGCAACACAAGGAAATATGGGTCAAGTTATAGAATCAAGACTTAGAGATGGAAGGCACTTCATAAATCATCTAAAACAAGCTATGGAGAGATCATGATTTACCTTCGGGAACACAGCTAGCTAGTAAGGGTCTATGGTGGGATTTGAATCCAAGTCTTCTTCATTCCCAGAATTCTCTGTTCTTGGGTTGTGAGGCCAGAACAAGATGATGAAAAAGGCATAGAATTGTAGGACCAGATGACCCTTCCCATTTAGTCCAAATCCCTCATTTTGCAGATGAGGAAACTGAGGCCTAGACAGGCCCAATCACTTAAAAAGTTCCATAGGTAGTAAGTGAGGTTTGAATCCAGGTCATAGAATCATAACATCCTAAGTCCTTTGACTCCCAAACCCATCTTCTTTCCTCTCCAGCACACAGCCTCTACCTACTGAGTTAAGGGTAGATATTAATATTCTAAACTAAAAGTGTGGAAGCTTCTCTTTCCATGAGCAGCATTGATTTGGTAGGAAATAAGATGCCTAGAGAACCCTGGCTCTCCATGGGGCCTCTCTCTTTTTCTTGAAAGGTGACAAGGTGTTTTATTACTTGTTGATATTTCAAAATGTCTGTTGGTCGCTATTGATTAACTCAGTGGTGATAAGCCAGGACAGCTCTTTTAAACCGTTCTGATAGACCTGCAGCCTGCTTCTGCTATCGATACAGACTCATCAATTAAGCAGGAAACCACCAACAAATGGCATCCTTCCTCTTCCTTCTGCTTGATGGGATCTTTTTCAAAGTGTCAACCATTATCTCATGGAATTATAGAATCTTAGGGCTAGGAGATTTTCGGTCAACGTCTAGACCACAGTTATCGTTGGACAGGTGACCAAGAACTAGTTAGTAACAGACCTGGACCAGCTCCTCGAGTTTTATAAGACCCTGCGCTGCCTCTGTTGCTCAACAGTAGAATTTCTTGCCCCTAATATGGCATTAGCTTCCATTGTGGAAGGAGTCTCTTGGTTCTAATAGGAGCACTTTCCCATGCTTTCCTCAGAGCTGCTGCACCCAATTTGTACATCTTATGTTTTAAACTCCATCTGAAAGTCATATCACTGCATTCCCAGTTTGCAGCTGCCCAGGATGGTTCCTCTAGGCAAGTCTCTTGACCTCCCAGAGCCTATGTTTCCTCATCTGCCAAAGGGGGAGTTGAAGAGGCAGCATCATAGAGTGTTGATAGCCCTGGCTGTGAAGTTATGGGTTCAAATTCTGCCTCCGTCTCTCCGCTCCAGGCATTTTCTCTGGCTGTTGCCCATGTCTGGGATGTTCTCCCTCCTTATCTTTGCCATCCTTTCAGTCTCACCTAAATTCCCTCCTTTCACAGGAAATCTTCTCTAGTTCCTCTTAATTCTAGTGCCTTCCCTCTGTTAATTGTTTCCTATTTAGGCTGTTTGTTTTTCCATGTCTGATTACTTGTTGTCTCTCTCCTCTTAGACTGAGCTCCTTGAAGGCAGGTATAACCTTTTGCCTCTTTTTGTATCCCCATCACTTAGCAAGGTGCCTGAGACATAGTAGGTGCTTAATAAATGTTCACTGACTGACCTTCAGTTCTTTGAACCTCAGTTTGTAATAAGAAAACCGAGGCTCAATGATTTAACAAAGGTTACAGAGCTGGTCAGTGTCAGAGGCAGGATTTAAATCCTGCTCCTCTGACTCTAAATCCTGAACCCTTTCCACTGTACCACACTGACTCAAACCAACAATATTAGCCAACATGGAAGCTCTTGCCACCTAATAGGCATGTCTTTGTTTTACTGTGACCTGGATCACTCTCACGAGGGGCCCTAACATCTCTCCTAAGTCATCTCTTATTCAAGGTTGTGGCCTTTGTCTTTAGGAAGCATGAAATCCTCCATGTCCTTGGACTCCTACTAGCAAGGCCAACATTTGTCTGTAGAGATAGCCTCTTGAAGGTGGGCCCCGGTCCAGGAAACACTAGTCGAGTTCTCTGCAGGAGAGGCAGGAGATCAAATTCCAGAGCAAAGGGTGTTTTCAGAACTGGAGGGTGTCTTGTGTGACCATCCTGGCTGCTCTTCCCTTGTGGGCATTTTCAGCTGTTGAGGAAGAAACAGGAAATGTTTTGAGATAAGTCTGGTGCAGGCCTCCCTTCTTTTGATGGGAAGCCTTGAGCTGAAGAAATGTTTGTTAGAGGAAAACTAAAAGAGCCCTTTGGAGCAAAGTATGACTTAAGAGCTCTGGGTGTGTCCTCTGCTGTCTACCCCCAACTCCCCCCTTACATGTTTGCTTTGGAGGAGGAGCTGGTGATAGGAAGGGTGGTTAGGTAATGTCCAAGGATAGGCTGGGAAATTTTTTTATTGCCCTAGAGATGCCTGAGAGTAAGTTCCACCCTTCCTTACCTCTGCTTTTGATAGCTTAGCCTCAGTTCTGCCTGGCAACACAGAGGTAGAAACTCTTAGAGCTGGAAGGGCCCTGGGAGCCCATATGTAGCCCAATTTGTGTCTGAACAAGAATCCATAAATCCCTTCTGCAACATGATGAGAATCAGATTCCTACAGGAGATCCAATTCCCAATGTCACCAGATTTCTATTATCAGTGGAATTGTTTGTTAAAGTAGGACTGTAGCTCCAGAGAAACCCTTGGGCTGCATCCATAGCTCATCTACTTAGAAATATAAATTAAATAAATTTAAGCTGATGATGTCACTAAGCTACAGGAGTACAGAGAAAGAAGGGGACCCAAGACAAAACCTTGAGGTTCAGCCACACTTAGGGGATATGTTATAGATAATGACCTAGTCAAGGAGGCTGAGAAGTTGTCATATAGGTGGGAAGGACAACCATGGGAGAATACTGTCATTCCAGTATATTCCAGAGGATATGTATTCCAGATATTCCAGAGGAGAGTATCTTGGGAAAAGGATCAACAGTGTCAGATGTTAAAGGGAGGTCAAGAAGAATGAGCATGGGGAAGAGATGTGTCATTGTGCATCATTGGGAACTTTGGAGAAAGCATTTTCAGTTGAGTAGTGACTATGGAGCTGGGTTTCAAAAGGTTAGGGAAAGAGTGAGAGGAGAGAAAGTGGGGATGCACTGAGAATAGATGGTTTTCTGAAGGTGCTCTGGGGAGAAGAGATGGAGGAGAACCAGCAGGGAAGGCTGACTTTGGTGACCTTTTTTAAAGGATGGGCCACAAAGGTTTGGAGGTAACAGAAAAGAAACCAGAAGAAAGAAAGAGATTGAATAATGGGGTGGGGGGAGGAGGAGAAGGGTGACTGTGGAGGGAATCTTCTAGAAGTGTCCCCAGACTCCCAATCCAGTGTTCTTTTCACTAAATTTCAAGAAGGTTATTGACAAGCTGGGGTATAGTCAGCTCCGTCAGGAGGGAGACTGGCATGGTGACGGAACTCATAGAACGTGGTTTTGATGATTGATCGAAGGAACTAAGGAGGCTTCAATTAAAGAGGAGGAAATTTAGAGCTCACAGAATTTTATGGATGAAGAAACTTGAGGGTCAGAGAGAGGAAGTGACTCACCCACTGTCACACTGATAATAAGTGGCAGAGAACAGACTCCAACCCAGATTGTCCAACTCCAGGAAAGGGGAAGTTAGTGAACTGGAGTCCAGGTGTCCCAAGCCCTCATTCGGGTGCTCTTACCACTTCAGCCACTACCTGACAAGTGCCTTCCATCGTGGAGATCTAGTAAGTCAACCTTTGGCCTCTGTTTTATTGGCATCCAGGTTTAGATTGCATTAATCTCATACTCATACATTAATCTCATAGGGTAGCTAGGTGGTGCAATGGATAGAGCGCTAGCCCTGGAGTCAGGAAGACTCATCTTCTTGAGTTCAAATCTGGCCTCAGACACATACTACCTGGGTGACTTAACCCTGATTGCCTCAGTTTCCTCATCTGTAAAATGAGCTGGAGAAGGAAATAACAAACCACTCCAGTCATGAGGAGTCAGACACGGTTGAAAAACTACTGAACAACAACAGCCTCACACTCAGGGCAGTTTAAAAGTGCTCCTTTAAATAAAGACATAGGCAGCCTTCTTGGGAAACAGACTGTGCCACAGGCCTGGCACCAACCCACCCATTGGTAGGTGGTGCTGGCTCAGATAAGGTTGAGGTGGTATCTCAGCTGGAGGCCTGTGTTTATCTCTGTCATATTGCAGAGCAGGAGAGTTTTTGTCTAAGGATCAGAAAAGAATGATAGACTCAGGCAGGCCTGTAAGCATTCACTCTTTGACCACATCCCCAAC